CTCTGCCATGTCGCCTGCTGCTGCTCATGATCGCGCTCTTCCAGCGAAGGACTATCGGAGGCTCAGGAAGCAAAAAAGAAGCATGCACATTCGTCTCGAAGCGCAAAGATGAAGGCATGCAGCGGTACGAAATACATGCGAAAAGTCGCGGCGAGCCAATGCCTGCGGTAGGAAGTACAACGACTAGCCTGGCTCTTAAATCAAGCAACTGAGCAAAGAGTGTTAGAAGTCAGTGCATGCGTGTGCAAACCAAGCTTATGGGCAGATGCAAGCCATGGCCCAATGGCGTGCCGGGGGCGTCACGCGAGTACGCGTGACACGCGGGACGCGCGTGACGCCGGGCCCCGTTGGACCCCCAACGCGCGTGACGCGCGTGATGCGCGTGACGGGTCAGGGGGCCGGAGAGCAGCCCTTTAGCAGGGCAGCAAAGGGGGCCAGTGGTCAGGGGGGGCCACGGGGGGGGGGCCTGGGGAGGCCAGGGCCTGGGGCCAGGGGGCAGGGGGGGCAGAAAGAGGAGCAAAAAAGGCTCGCCGAACCAAAATGGCCAGGAAATGGTGTCAATCTCTGCCGGATATGTTCTGGGTCCAGGCACCCTAGAAAAAGGGTGGGTACGGCCTAAGCAGGCCGGGGTGGGAATTTAGGGTTTAGGATACTGTAGCAGTACCAGTAAGGGTTACGCTTTAGGGTTTAGGGTTTGGGTTTTAGGATTTAGGAATTAGAATAGGGTTTTGTTGGGGGCTTCTTTTTGTAGTTATAGCATAATGTACCCCCCCCCACACCCTATTCTAATGATTAAGGCCCCTATACTACTTCACTCACGACTCTCACGCTTTTGGGGGCTTAGGATTCGAGGTTTCAGGGGCTCAGGGTTCGCGCTTTGCGTGGCTCTTCATAGCCATCCTTCTGCTGCAGATCAGGTTTGGGAGTCCCTCTGTTGAAACTCAGCCTACTTGGAGGTTCATGGGTAGTTATAAGAAGGGATGTAAGTAGGATAACTATAGTTATAACCCATATTAAGGGACTTATAACCCGACTTATAACTACGCATGAACCTCCAAGTACAGCAGCTAACCGAATGCAAAACCATGCCATGAGTTGAGAGCTTCGGGTTTGGAGGGTTTTGGGGGGTTTTGGGTTTGAGGTTCTGGGTTTAGGGACGAGACATGTCCTGAAAGACCCCTTAAGCCTGTTCTTCTCCTTCTCCCTGTCCTCCCAATTCCTCTAAACCAGCTAAACCCTAAACCCTTAACCCCTATCCTAAATCGCCCAAACCCTCAACCGTGGCTGAAGCTTTCACCAAGCCTCACAAAACCGCTAATCCTATTCTCTAATCCCCAAATCCGAAACGACAAACCCAAAATCCTCAAACCCGAAACTGAAAACATCTGTTCTAAACGCCACAACCCGAACCCTACAACGCTGAATCCATATCCCCTAAATGCGAAACTCCACAACTTCAACTGATGCCCACACTTCTAACTGATGCTCCCTGGCCCTTTAAAGGAGGCTAGCCTCCACTGCTAAGCTCCTAATATGGGGGTTTTCGAAAATAGGGGACCCCATTTAGTGATCTAAATAGTAGGATCCTTATTATAAGAACCCCAAAGTAAGGTACTCCTTATTTTCGGAAACTCCCATATGGAGCCCTTTAGAGAACCTCCTAAGGACCCCTGCTAGGTCCCATGACCCTCCATTCCCAAAGTGTGCCGAGGAGCAGGTTGCATTGGTATCAGCTTCGTGGGGCCACTGAATCCTGAGTTTCTGGTTTAGGGTTTAGCGTTTAGGGGCTTAGAGTGTAGGGCTTAGGGTTTAGCCTTTAGGGGTTAAGAGTTTAGGGTTTAGGGTTTAGAGGTTTAGGGTTTAGGGGTTTAAGGATTTAGGGTTTAGGGGTTTAGGGGTTAAGGGGTTAAGGGTTTAGGGTTCAGGGTTGTCTCCCAGACTTACATGTAACATGCATACGTACATACATACATACGTACATACATACATAC